CTTTCTGTTGTAATGCTTGTGTGTCTTAATATTACCACCCTTAATATTATTATCCAGGAATAATCACTGCGAATCGCTCATGAGTTATTGAAAGTAGTGTGTGGGAGGTATAGAAGTAGACTGGTGGTACTTTCTTTAGCTAGTTGGTATCACACTAAATATTCTGTTTTGTGTATTCCTTGTAACATAAAGCATAAGTCGATACTTACTCACATGTTATTAAATAATTCTTCAAGAATGTTTTAGTAATTGCAAAATACTTTGTTTGGACAACAGAGACTTTTGAAACAGATGGGGGACACGTGGGACTACTTGGAGCTTTGGACTTAAAGTCGAAGTGTTTGGCTAACTGCTAAGTGAGCAGAAATGAGATACAAACCTTGTTCATGCAAATTATGGCTACATCACTTTCTAAGTGAACAACAAGTCTTGAAAGTCACTCATTTCACCAGTGGAAGATATCGTTTCTAATATACTTTCTATTTAGTTGAGCTTTCTAGTGAGAATTTCAATAAAGGCACCTGGTGCTGCTTAGCAGCCACATTTGGTGTGTATACTCCTGACCAGCATAATGTAAATGCTAACTAACTACCCTTAACAAAGTATTAAAAGAGAGACATGTACACCACAGTATTTGTACTGAAGGTTTTAAAAGTTAATTTCTGCTCCTTGATATGAGTCAAAAACTTTATGTTCAGACAAAAGTATTTTTATAGCAGCTTTATTCATAATTGCCAAATTTTGGAAGCAAGCAGGATGTTCTTCAGTAGGTAAGTGGATAAACTGTGTTATAGCTATACAACGACATACTATTTAGCACTAGAAAGAAATGAGCTACCAAGCCATAGAAAGACGCGAAGGAACCTTAAATGCATGTTAACGAAGTGGAAGCAGCCAATCTGAGATGGTCATGTACTGTATGATTCCAAGACATTCTGGAAAAGGCAAAGCTATGGGACAATAAAAGGGTCAGAGGTTGACAAGGGTTAGGAGGGGAGGGATGAATAGGTGGAGCATAGAATATTTTTAAGACAGTGAAACTATTCTGTATGATACTGTCATGCATGTCATTATATATTTGTAACAACACATAGAAGGTACGACACCTATGAATTAACTCTAATGTAAAGTGTGGACTTTGGGTGATAATGATGTATTCCTCTGGGGGGAGTTTTGGTTTTACTGGAGAAAGAGGAAGTAACATAACAGAAGAATGTTTGGAGAACAGGAAGTAATGAGTAAGACACTGTCTTAGCACTTAAAGAACCGGAAGTCAATACTGTGCCCTGGGCTTATAGGGGAAGATGGCCGAGCACAGAGGTTCATGACTAACGCTCATCCTGTCACTGTGACCTGCTCTGGGAGGAGGTGTGAAAGTCAAGCTGAAGGGGCCTGATTTCCTTTCAATGGGAGGAGTGGGCTGGCTCTAAATGCACAGAGCAGCATCTGAACTGACATTGGAGAGAGAAATAGAATAGATTGAAAGGGCAGCCACCATTGAAGATGGGCCAGGCTGATAGCTCTCTTCTGTGTCTCCAGTCCCTGGGATTTCTCACAGTCACTATGTGAAATGATGCACAGAAATCGCAGCAAAGACAAAAATGCCATCTATGTCCTGCTACAGTTTTGGGCTCTGACTGTTGGTTTTGTTTGTATTTAAATCCTCACATTTATTTTTGCATCAGAATAGAGGGATTGTAGTGAATCAAGCTTCAGTAACACCTTTCATGTGTAAACTTTAACTTCACTGTTACACTTTAATGTTTCCACGTGAATGCTGAAAGTGTTTCTTGGGACTTGCTGTCAACATGTAAAAAACATTAAGATTTGAGTAAAGAGGTACCTTTGCATGTTATCTCTGCCCGTGAGCATTTGAAGACACTGTAAATTAAATCAAACAATGGTTTATGTGGTAATCCTCAGCCTAATATATTTTCTTTCTTTAAGTACATGCAGATTGAAAAGTACAGATTTTGGTACCCAGTAGCCAAATTTGTGGGATTATTTGGAGCGAAACAAGTATTTACTCTCTAAAATATGGTTGTGGTAGGCTAATTTATCTCTTGACATCCTCTGGGGTTCCGGTGGCGCATTTCTTTCTGCTTGTAAAGTACCAACGTCAGAAGTCCCCCCACTCCTTTTTTGGGGGGATATTTACAAATATTGCCTGAAAATACTTGCGCTACAGGTTTAAAGTTAAAATCCTTAATAATGACTACTTAAACTCCAGTTCAGAAAATCAGCAATAAGTAAACTGCAAGTCACTTTGATGTGAAAAGTGGAAGAACTCAGTACGAACTGTGTAGTTTTTAGAAGCCAGCTCTCAGTGCAGCACCACCTTTTCTGGACATCTCAGCAGACTCTCTGGATCCCCAATTAAAGGAGCAGAAAGGCCTGATGCTCTGTTTTCATTAGGGGTGGTTGGAAACAGTTTGGTGTCAGGAAGTTTAGCTCTCCATGTTAACTTAGGTCTCCCAGAGCACGTTAATCCCCATGGCTGCTGTGTTCTCTCCCAGGCTGGGTTGCCTGCGTGGCACATCAGCCTGCGTGCTTGGGCAAATTAATCTCTGTCTCTGTGGAAACATAGATAGTTTTCTGACTCAAAATAGTACCCCCGCCCCCATTTAGTAACTCTTTTAACAGCTCCCAATAGAAGCTTCATTTCTACTTCTGCACAAAGAGAAAGGACAAATTTTATTAAATGACTTGAAATTTCAGCTTTAAAAAAAAATGATTAAGCATCTGACCTTTAGTATTTCTCCCCTAAATGCTAGAATTGAGTCTCTATACTTCAGTGTTGTGGAGTGTAATATAAGAAACCATTCATTTGATATATTTAATGAAGCTGTGATTTCCATGTTCCTAAAACAAGCAAAGTGTCAAATCCTTATGAATAACAAGAAAGAAACAGTGTTAAACTTTTCATAAGGACTTCTTTCTTTTTTATAAATCCAGAGTGCCTACAGCCGGTAAAATAGATTAACATTTTACAGTCAGAAAGTAGCATGACATTAAATATACACCGAGACCGGGCATTTTTTTCACATCAAAAATTATAGACTTAAATTTGCACAATAGAGTTTCTCAGCCGGTGCCTTACACAGAAGAAAAAGCTGTTGCAGAAGCACACTGTTCAGATTGTACAAGAATGAAAGTCTCTTAGCGTGTTTTTAGCATCTCCACTGTCCCCGTTTAATATCTGCCAGACAGATCACACAGGCCACCTAGGGGATAGCAGCAGATGATCTCTTTGAAGGTTTTCCTCAGTTCTTGGCTCCGGAGTGCATAGATTAGAGGATCGATGATGGAATTGCACATGATCAGAATGAGATACAAGTTAAAGTGAGACATGAAGCACACACAGTATGGATTCTGGGGACAGGAGATGTAGAATATTAAATGCAGGAAGAAGGGGGCCCAGCAGACAACAAAGACCCCAATCAGTATGGTCAAGGTAATCGCCCCCTTCATGTTGGCACCTTGGCGGACGGTGCCAGTGCCGGGGAGGACAGCGATCCTCTTAATGTGAAGTCTGGCCATGAGGAACATGTGGACATAGAGGGAAGCCATGAGAGCCAGCATGGTGAAGAACATGGTGATGAGGCAGATGATGACAGCACTGCTGTCTGAGTAAATGATGAACAGAACACCCGACACCGTGCACGCTGCCCAGATGCAGCTGATGATGATCCCAACCCGCTTAACCGTCATTATGTTGTGATACTGGAGAGCGTAAAAGATAGTAAAGTACCTGTCCACTGCAATCGAAAGCAGGCTGCAGATTGATGCAAGCAAGGAGCTACAGATCACCGAGTCAATGACATTATCAATATTCACTGTGAAGCTTTGTGTGTCCGTGTCTGTGCTGTTCAGTAGGGTGATGACAATGGTCTCTGACCCATTGGAAACACTCACCAACATATCAGCCACGGCCAGGCTGCAGATGAAAAAGTACATGGGTGAGTGCAGATTCTTGTTCTTGGCTATTGCCACAATCACCAGAATATTCTCCAACAAGCTTATGACACCCAGAGTCACAAACACCTCCGGAGAGACAAAAAGTTGCTCGTAGCACCCTCCATCAGAGTAGCCTTTGCCCAGGGACTCACTGGCATTGCTGTGCAGTCCGTAGGTGCTGCGGTTCCAAAAGTGGAGGGAAGTGTGCATTCCATGGCGATGGGTAGAGTTCATCCTGCGCCAAGTGGATTCAGGTCCCCAGTGAATGGCTCGAACCTCCTGGGTCAGGGAGCGTCAGTGATTTCCCCCAGGTCTTTATCTGTCTGAAAGTGGTGAGGCTGAAACTGGCATGCCTGCTGTGAATAAAAGTCACGTGCTCCAAAGCTTGAAATGGAGTTTTCAGTCTCTTTCAGGTACCACTCTGATCACCATCACTTTGAAATCTTAGGCTTCAGGCTGCTCATTCACAGTCCAGTCTGCTGTTTGCGCTTTCTGTTCTCACCTTCACTTTAACTTTAGTCTCATGCATTCAGGTCTTTTCAAAATAATTTTCTTAGTGGCGGCTGTGCTATTGGGAGACGAACCTGTGTGCACATTCTCACATCAGCTGCCTCTCAGGGGTGTCGGTTCCCAACCTGAAGCTTCGCTTTGAGTGTTAGTAGCTGCTGCTGATTTTTATGGTGTGTGAAGGAAAAAAAAAAAAAAGCTGTTCAGAGTGGCTCCTCCTCTGCTTCCTTCTGACCAATCCAAGTCCAGTGGTGTCTGTGAGACACGGATGATGTCCCAGAGATACAGACTGCAGGGCAGAAGCTTGTGGAATCGGGAAACAAGCAGGATGGGAGAGACTGAATTTCCCTTTTCAAGTTTTCAAGGAAACCAACTTGGTTCTCAGAGGACATTCTTTGATACCACACAAGCCATCTTGGGGCATCCAGGTTTATTCCTGCTTAAAGGATATGTGTGTGTGTCTGTGTGTGTGTTTTCCTGAAACAGATACACTGCGTTTTTGGCCAGGACATTGAATTTATTTACCCTCTCAATTTCTTCGAATTAAGAACCCAGGCAGTAATGCTTCAATTTTAAATACTCGAAACACAGGGAGAATATTTATGCAGGAGATTACGCTGTGGATGGAGGGACTAGGTAAGTAGCTACATTTTGTCACAGGGCTTAAGAAGGAGTTGTTTCCTTATGCACTAGTATCTGATATTCCTCCATGGCAGAATTACTTTTCTCATAGCTGGAAAAGTTTTTTTTTCATTCACAGTATTTAAAAACCATATAGTGTTGAACTATGTTTGCTCTGAACTCAGAAAGAAAAAGCTCAATAACTAGGCAGCACTCAGGTTTTTAAAGCATTATTGAAGTTTGCTTGATATACAGAACATTGCACGTATTTAAGGTGTGCATTTTAATGAGTTTGGACATACGCATACGTCGCCGATATCCTCATCACAATCAAGATACTAAGCATATCCATCACCTCCAAAAATGTCCTTCTGTTCTTTTGTGTTTTCTTTTTGTGTGTGATAATAACACTGAACGCGACATCCGTCCTCTTAACCTGTTTAAAGTGCACCATACCGCATTATTAACTGTAGACAGTATGCTGTACAGCGAAGCTCTAGAACTTACTCATCTTGCAAAGCTGCAATTGTATCCCCATTGGGCAGCAATTCCTGGGCAGTGGTCTTGGCAATGATTTCTTGGAATTGACACCAAATCACAGGCACCAAAACCAAAAAATGGGCCAGGAGGATTACATCAAATTAAAAATCTTTTGAACAGCAAAGGAAACAATCAACAGAGTGAAAAGGCAATTTACAGAATGGGAGAAAATATTGCCAACCATCTATCGAATAAGGGGTTATTATCCAAAACATGTAACTGACTAAAAGGAACTGAATAAGCCAAGTTAAAGATAGGCAAAGGGCTTGAATAGACATTTCTCCAAAGAAAACATACAGATGGCCAACAGGTATATGAAAAGGTGCACAACAGTACTAATCATCAGGGAAATGCAAATGCAAATTGGTATCAGAATGAAATACCATCTCACACCTGTTGGGACGGCTGTTATTAAAAAAAAGAAAAGACAGCAAGTGTTGGCTAAGATGTGGAGAATTTGGAACTCTGCCTTTTTTTTAAGGTGGCCTATCTACTTCATTAATTGAAGTCTTTCTAAATTAAACCCACACATACCTTAACACTTATTCAAGCCAAGATAGGAGGACGTTAGTTACATGTCAAGAGTTTCTGAATGTTTTGCTTAAGCTAACTTCAAAAGATTGTGAGAAAGATACTTTTCAAATTAACTAAGCTCTAGGCTATGAAGTTTTATATAGTATATTTTCCTTGCTGTGACTGCTTTTGCTTTCAGCTCTTATCATTTGTGCCCACTGATAATAGGGACAATCAGAAAGGATTATTTCAAAGTTAAGTCCTCAGTGATTCAGGTAAGGGCATTATCTTCTTTCCCATTTGTGACAGAGGCAATGTGAAGTATTATTCCTGAGCATGGAGTTAAATTGACACCTTCCATCCATCCCTGGAATTGGGTGGGACTAAATTCTAGCCAGTGGAGTGTGGGTAGAAGTGAGAGCATTATGTATCTCCTTCATGAGAGTCTACGTGTTTTCTCTCCAGTCAGTTCGTAGATGAGTGCAGAATGTCTTTGAAGCCTCATGTTACAGATGTTAGAACCGTATCATGGGTGGAGCCTGGATCTCCGAATAGCTGCACGGAACACAACTCACATCTCCATCTCCCTCCACACCATTGCCCACTAACTACACTGAACTTTGATACCAGCAAACAATAAATACCACTGTGTTAAGCTGCTGAAATATTGATATTTACCTGTTGCAGTAGCTACCATTAATTGCCTTGACTTTCAAACTTTTAATGGAACTATTACAAGCAGCAAACCCAAATTACACGAAAATCCTTCCTTCCCCCCGTTTTAGATTTGTGTAAGTAGTGAATTACCTAAAAGGGAAGCAGTGGGGAAGAAATCTGTTGAAATGTTTAAGCATCAGAGAGTCAACTCCTGACTTTGGGTTCCCTACTTCTCTTGGTGACATAATTGTTTCTTAGACTTAAAATTCAGAGTATTTTTGACTCGTCCATCTTTCTCAAAAATCCCTACTTGAAATCACTTGTAAAATACCTTCAATTCTATCAGTGCGTCTGAATCCCCTTTTTCTCCTTACCAGACTCACTTCCCACTTTTCTTCTTCATGAAAACTTCATTGCAGTCAAACTTGCATGCAAGATGGCATGCACGCTAGAGATTTTTCTGAGTTTACTCTATTTCCTCTGCTTGGAATGCTGTTCCTTTATGTTTGTGAATTATCATTATTTTGTAACACTTGTTAACAGGCATATTATACTTTATATATAATTATATAATAGACAAAATTAGTTCTTGAAAACAAAACTTTTTTTTTCCTTAGCTTTTCACCAAAAAAGGATTTAATTTCTAGGCACTGTGATCACACTGAAATCCCAGAAAACCATATACATTTAAAATCTCAAATTTGATTCTTTGATGTAGATTTTTAAAAACCTATGGTTAATCATGCTGAAAAGATAACATTTTGTCATCTGTAAGGAGGAATTTTAATTGTCTGGCTTAGCTGAGCTCTGTATGAACCAGAAGAAATACAGCCAGCAATTCTAGACACTTTAATGGTGTTTTTGAAAATTTATTGCAGATTTCTTTTTTTTAAGTACACACAGAATTGAGTTAGATCATAATATATTTCTTTTATGAACATAATCC